AAAAAAAAAAGTTCCTGATCTAATGGACCTCTTGGCTTTTCCTCGCAGCCAGAGGCAGCCTCCTCGCCTCCAACTTACTTCAATCTCAGTTTCTCTCAAACAATCGATAACCCCTTCGCGCACGGAGGGTCCCTCCCTCCCACGCGTCTACATTTAGCCGCTGCGCCCCCCTCTCCCTCTTGATAGGTACACTCCCACCCCCCACCCCCCACCCCACCATTATCTGTCAATTGTACAGCCAAGCACGAAGGAGGCTGGAGGGAAATCCGGGATGCCAAGCGGGAAGAGAAGGCTTCCTCCCAGCCTTAAAATAAACCAGGCGGTGCTCTCTCTCTCTCTCTCTCTCTCTCTCTCTCTCTCTCTCTCTCTCTCTCTCTCTCTCTCTCTCTCTCTCTCTCTCTCTCTCTCTCTGTGTGTGTGTGTGTGTGTGTGTGCGTGCGTGCTCACGAGTGTGCATGGGGAGGGGGGGGAGTGATCGCCAAGGGAAATAAATAGAAAGGTCCCGTGGCGCTGGGCTCCCTTCTCTGTCTCTCCAGAAGCGACTCTGATCGCCACCCTCTCTCTCTCTCTCTCTCTCTCTTTTTTTTTTGGGGGTACCCCCCAAAAAGAAAAAAAAAAGTTACCGAGTGTCTTTCTTGAGGGCTGACCAGACGACAAACTCCCCACCCCTCGCCCAAAAGTAGATGCCTGAACACCCCACCGACTTTTTCCCCCCCTCCCTATAAAAAAACAAAAACCCGCCCTCTTCCTTGAATCTCCCCCACCCCACAAAATAAATAAATAAATAAATAAATAAGTCAACCAGCGACAAACTCCCCACCCCTCGCCCAAAAGTAGATGCCTGAACACCCCCCCCCGACTTTTCCCCCCCTCCCTAAAAAAAACCCCCGCCCTCTTCCTTGAATCTCCCCCACCCCACAAAATAAATAAATATTAAATAAATAAATAAATAAATAAATAAATAAATAAGTCCACCAGCGCTGTTGCACCTGGGCTGCCGCGTCCTGCCTCCTCCTTGCAGGCAGCCGTAACACCCCGTCCCTCCCCTCCCCCACATTAAATTACGCCCCCCCCTCTTCTTTTACTGGAGGGGGGGGGCGTTCCGCCTAAAGGCAGAAAGCACTCCCCTTAGACGCCTCTCTCTCTCTCTCTCTCTCTCTCCCCCCCCCCCCCCCTTTTTCCCCCCCTCCTCTCAGAAACGCCCCGAACTCGGGGTAGCCGTTTTTTTTTTGGGGGGGGGAGACTATCGGGAGCTTCGCTCGTCCCCGTTTCAGCACCTCGCTGGATGGACAGCTCCTTTCATGCTTTTTCCCAGGGCTATTTCCCCTTTCTGCGCTTTTCGGTCCGGCTTTCGTTTTGTTTTGGTGCCTGTGTGTGTATATATATATATATATATATGTGTGGGGGGGTGTTTGTGTATCTCAGGGTGTATTTTTAAAGACAGGCATTTCTCCCCCCCTCACCTACCCACCCCCACACACATACACCCCGTACGCACACACACACACACATCGCCCCCGGCGCCTTAGAAATCGGTCGGATCCCTAAAAAGAAAGGTTCCCCCCCCACACACACACACACTTCGGCACCCACTCCGAGGGCGCCCGCTCACACCTCCATCGAAACACTTTTTTCCCCCCCTCCCTATTACCAACACAACCGGGCTGGATCGTCCCCGATCTTTGCCTTCTCTCTCCCCCCCCCCCCCAACAACGCCTCCCTCCCCTTTCAAAAGCCATCTGCTTGGACCCCCGTGTCCCCCCCCTCCCCTTCTGTCCAGCCCCGAGCTGACGAAGAAGAAGGGAAAAAAGAAGAAGAAGAAGAAGAGAGAGAGAGAGAGAGAAAAAAAAAGCAGAAGGGAAAGTTGCGGATCCCTCGCTCACCTTTGTGCATGCCGGTGAAGCGGTCCTTCAGCACCGTCAGTTCGTATATTTTCCCGAACTCTTCGAAAAGCGGCTTGAGGTCCTTCTCGTCCAGGTTGCGAGGGATCTGCCCGACGAAGAGCTTGATCGCATCGTGATCCTTCATGGGAATGGTGGCGGAGTTCCCCGGACTGTGGTTTAATCCGTTCATGTGCCCGTTGGGGTTGGGGTTAGTGTGGGTGCTACTGAGGCTGGAATTGTCTGCTTGTCCGTTTGCTAACGTGGCCATCTTTATATACATAGAGAAAAAATCTTCTTTTCCTTTTTTTGCCCAGCCCCCCCCTCCTCCTCGCTGCCTCCGTTCCTCTCTCTCTCTCTCTCTCTCTCCCTCTCTCTCCCTCTCGCAATCCCGCTCCCTCTTGCTCACTCACTCACTCACACACACACACACACTCACACTCGCACACACGCGCGCTCACACACGCACCACACTCACACACATACACACACAGAGAGACTCACTCACGCACGCACCCTAGCACTGACTCTCTCTCTCTCTCTCTCTCTCTCTCTCTCTCTCTCTCTCTCTCTCTCTCTCTCTCT